TGAGCCGAGGTGAAAGCCGAAGCCTGCCGAAGCTTCGACGGCCTGCTTCTAACAGCTGGGCGGAGCCAGCCGTTATCTCACGGCTGGCTCCGGCCACTTTCAGAGAGATCAGCGTCCCTGGTTACCTGCTAACCAGGGTTACTGTCATTACACACTGAGAGCGGCCTCTCCGTGTTCTCAGTGTGTAATGACAGATGTCGTTCCTGGTTAACTGGTAAGTCTAATAGGCTCCCAGCCGCCCGGTAGAGAAACACTATCTCCCAGAAAGGTTCACTCTGCTGCTGCTGTCAATCAGCAGAGGGGGACCTCCAGTTCTCCATCAGGTCCACCTCTGGTGATTGACAGCAGCAGAGGGCGCGTGCAATAGCTAATTTGCTATTGCAAAGTGAAATAGCCAATAGGAATCTAGCTATGCATTCCTATGGTGTGTTCGTTTTAAAAAAAAATTATTTTGTTGACGGCAGCAGAACCGTCCGGCCAATAGAAAACAGTTGGGCGGAGCTAGCTGTCACTGCTAGCTCCGCCCAATCGTTTTCTAAATTTTTTTTCTGCTTTTTTAACTATTTTTCTATTCTGCTCGGTCCACAGAGGGACCGAGCAGAACAGCCGAGCCGAATGCCATTCAGCGGCATTCGGCTATTTACTAACTGCTGTTCGGCATCTATGAGAATAGACCGAACAGCAGCGCTGAGCATGTTCGGCCGGCCCGAAGCCACATGAAGCCACCGAAGTATGGCTGATTTCAGCCGATATACAGGTGGAATCAGCCGTACCAGCCTAAAGTGAATAGCCAAACAGCGTTCGGCTCACTTCGCTTGGGGTCGGTTAGTCACTCGGCTGCCTACAGCAGCTTGGTGAATAGACCCCTGAGTCCTCAATCTCTTTTACTATTTTAAGGGAAATATCAGGGGTCTGTTTAGACCCCTAATATTTCACCGAAGCCCCTAAAAGTAAAGTAAAAATAAAAATGTTTAATAAAAATAAGTAAAAATAAAATATAACAAAATGTAAAAGTTTATAAAAAATAAATAAAAATGAAATTTTTTAAAAAATTGAAAAAGTTAAAAAAAAACATTTTTGGTTTCGGCCCGACATTTTTTTTCATTTCGGTTTTAAAATTTTCATTTATATGAGGGGAAAAAAATGTGAGAATATATATATATATATATATATTTTAAATTCATATTAGTGGTTCGCGGGATTTAAAATTATGCATTTAGTGGTCCATGAGGTCCGAAAGGTTGGCGACTGCTGTTCTAATGCACACTTTGAGGCGCACAGAACGGCCTGAAGATAAGGTTGGAGATCAGCTTTAAGGACCAAACGTTGTCAAGCTTAACAATTAAAAAGATGGACTTCAAACATGTACTATGTAGAAGCTACTTTTAGAATACAGATGGCCCCTTGGAGGACAAACTTGCTAACGAATGGCTTGACCTTTTCCTAACCTATAAAATCAACCTTATCCAGCAGCGTCATGCTTGTGGGCTCAGACAACGGCAAGGTAATAAAGTGGGAGTTCAGTGAAAAGGCATTTTATTTTCTCTCGGTTTTCCTAGTGATATCTATAAAAAGGGAGTAGCACTGCGGGGCGCTGAAAGCTAGTGAAAAATTAAAGTCAACAGATTCAAACTGTCCTATTTCCACTTCAAAAGAACGGAAGGAACTGAGCTCTTCCCAACTCATCTTCAAACGCCCAGTGGCCTAGAAAGTTTCCAAATAAAAAAAAAAAAGAGAGAGGGGAAAAAAAAGGAAAATATATTTTTTTATAGTCTCTTGTTCCCCCAAGCGCTGTACCCGTTACTGTAGCTGCTGTCTCTCCTTCAACTAATTATACCCATGTGTGTCTATTAATCAACTGGTGAATTATTTACACAAGCAAGTGCTGTTAGCTTCTGCTAATACGCCAACTGCAAAGGGTTTCTGGAGTGGAGCGTGAGGTCCCCACTGAGCCTCCGGCTCCCCGCTTCCCCGCGCTGTATCCTTCTACTTATTGCTGGACTGCCCGATTGCTCCCGCCTCCTCCACACACACACTTCGAGGAGACGTCCGAGGGGAGAACTTCACAGTGCAAATCCGCAAGGTCAAAAGGGCTGTCTAGGTGAGTGGAGAGGGCGCGGACGGGTTATTCGGAGGCTGGATTTGGGCTGAGCGTTGGGGGATCCTCTGCTTCTCGGTTTAGAAGATTGGATAGGGGCTGAAGACGATTGCAAAAGATAAATATGGATGCAAAACAAATACAGTTCTCTGCAAAAGTTTAACGGTCGCGGAGTAAAGTGAAGCCGAGGTGATTATCTCATCCTGAAAGTACGAGCGGCAAAGATATTGCTGTACGGAGATAAGTAGACACATTTGTGCTCGCTCAATAATACAGGGCAGAATACAATGTCGGTATGCAAAGTTTATGACCCGATGTAAGCAGATTTCAGCTTTATGTAGAAGAGAGGTGATTTGCGTTTGGTTGCTATGGGTTACGCTACTTCCCACTGACAGACAGTGACATATTTAAAGGAAAACTATGGGGTCAGGGCTTTTTCCCCATAGTTCTCCTAAAGCCCCGTTCACATTGAGCGATTTATCGCGCGGTAATTCCCGCGATATCGCGGCAAATTACCGCGCGATATCGCGCTCCAATGCATTTCAATGGGGCAAAGGGTCCTGCTGTCGCGGGTCGTGTGTCGCTACAGCAGGACCCTTTTTGGAGCAGATTTAGCCGCGATTCAAGCTTGCTCAATGCAAGCTTGAACGCGATATCGCGCGGCAAATCTTGCGATGTCGCGCGATATGCAAATCGCGCGACAAACACGCGATTTGCATATCGCGCAGTGGGAACGGGGCCTAAGGGTCACGGGAGAACACAAACTAGCGTCCTCCCGTGACCCAAAACTCAGGATACCGCGAGCTAGAGTTCACGGTATCATGAGACCCCATTCACACGTAGCAACATACCTTTTGCAGCAGCCGGGATAGCGCGACTTTCGGGGCGACGTTCCAGCGACCATCCAGCGACGGTAGCGCGACCTTCTCCGTCGGGCTCCATAGAAAAAAAGCAAAATCCGCCGAAAAAGGGTCCGGTAGAAGCGACTTGCGACCGCGACGAGCGACATGGAGTTAAGACAGCTCCATTGAATAGCATTGGCTGGCGACTTCTCGCGATATTGCGCGGCAAAAATGCGCGATATCGCGGTGGAAATAATATTAAAGTAATATTAATTTAACTTAAATATCAAACTTTTTTTTTTCAATAATGAATCCAGATCAAACAAATACAGATTGCCCAATAAAGTATCTCTTTACAGTTTGCCCAAATACTTCCGTATTCATGTTCCCAAACAGCTGGCTCTCTCTCAACTCTCTCAGCCCCACTTCCCTGAACTTCCTTTGTAGTACAGGATCACAAAGGACAGCAAAGTCTACAGCCGCTGTCCATCTACTAGCTTGGAGAACGGAGCAGGAAGGAGGGAAGAGACTTGCCTTGCTGTTTCTGTGTTGGTGGAGACACACACAGCTTACTAGCACAAACAAGGGTGGCTCCATAGGACACTGCATGGGAAAAGGAGTCGCCCTAAAACAAGATATTAGGGTCAGTGCTCCAGAGACCAGCTAATTCTGCAGGAAAACTTTTAAACATTAATGAGCAGCATCCATTGTAAGAGATTGAATCAGCTTTTGAAAAAGCCTAAAAATGCTTTGACTTTAACCCCTTCATGACCAGTGACGTACAGTGGCATCAGGCCCGTTTACACAGACGGGACTCTGTTTACACTTGTAAAGCCGACTGTCGGTTTTAGAGCAGAAGCGATTCTAGGGCGGCTCAGCTGCTGCTAGATCGCTTCTACGGGGTGGTAAGCACCCCCTCCCCACACACACCCCTTGTTTCCCGGGCTCCGCTGCCCCTCCTATGGGCCCGGGACCAGCTTCTCAGGTGTCAGGGGGAAGCTGGGGAGGAGATCGGCGAACCTCTGTTCACTGATCTCCTCCCCGTTCTATGGGACCGATGCAGATTACATCACTTCCGGTCCCATAGCTGTCACTGCTGGACTCCTGAAACCCACCAATAAGCTATTGAAGTGCGATCTACAGGCAGCGCTGCGAATTACAGGCAGTGATGCATCCAGATTTTGACAGGTAGTTAGGTTACACAGCAGCGGGCTTCCCTACTGCTTGTGTAACCTAACTTGGTGAGGCAAGAGCTGCTACAGCCTCTACTCTGTGTTAGAGATGTGAGCTGTCCAATAAAAAAAACAGTGAGGACATCGATGACCAGTGACGTGCAAGTTACCGAGCTTGGTTACTGCGCTGGGGGAGGGGCTTAGGTGGGACGGGGCGGAGCTTCGACGGGATTGGGATGGAGTTTTGGCGGGATTAGGGTGGAGTTTCGGCGGGCTGGGGGGTGCCTCACCCAGCACAGAAGGCACGTCACTGGTCCTCTGCCCTGTGTAAGTTCTAATTTGTGACTTGGGGTGATACAGGCTAAAGCTCTATAGCCTATAGAGACAATATAGAGAATGAGCTGTCCTGACCTGTCCGTGAATCTCTAATGCAGGTGGGAAAAAAGAAGCACACACACAAAAAAAGCACACACCACTATAATTTGTTGCACCGAAATTTCGGCCGCCAAAACATTTTGGCCAAAAAATGGCACTTTTAGCAAAATTGCAAATGTGCCATCTTTCATCCGAAATGCCTGGTGCTCTCCTCCCCGCTGGGCACTTCAGGACTCTGTGTCCTCAATCCCTTTTTCTATTTTAAAAGAGAAATAAATAAAAATAAAATATTTTAAAATATTTGAGGTTAGAAAAACACATTTTCGGTTTTGGTCTGACATTTTTCTATTTTCGGTTTTGTTTCGGTTTTAAAAATGTAATTTCGGTGCACCTCTACTCGTAAGCCTCCATGTCAGGGAGAGAGAGAGAAGTATCCCTGGGTATCCAGTTCAATGTATTTATATCCAGTACATCTACAAAAAACACACGGTATCTGAAAGTCCTGCTACAAACCTTGCTGTTCATTCTCTATATATGGCTCAATCAACTGTCCCAGCTTCGTCTGGTCAGCAACAACTTCCTTGAGAACCTGACCACAAGAAACTGTTGGAATAAACACAGAGAAATATAATTTAATCAGAATTAGTCAAAAATCTACACATTATACAACCTAGGTTGTGCAGGTTTTTTTTGAGGGTATTCATATAGTTATAATTCGTACAAATTTGTTGATGTTCATATAAAAGATTTATTGCATAATTATGAATATTATGGGGGTGATGAGAGTTGCTCCTGTCCCCCTGGTGTTAGATCCCTCCATGATATTTGACCTCTCGGTAAGTGGCTGTATAATTCAATCATACTAAGAATAAATGTATATAGCTGAATGGAAACATTGAAAACTGGAAAATATGATTTATAAATGGATTATGAAATTGCATATAAACATGTTGATGAACAATGTATCATGTATTTACAAATAGATTTATACCGATCCCCCTGAAGAAGCCTACTAGCGTAACGCGTAGGGGACTAACAAGGCAATACAACACTGTATATGAAAATCATACTCCTATATATGAGTATTGTTTTTAATATTCATAATTATGCAATAAATCTTTTATATGTTAATCAGAATTAGTGACATTTAAGGGTCACTTCACACCACAAACTCTGCGTTCCAGTGTGTTCGGCCTCTGGAATGCAAGCCGGCCCACTCCCTGCGTTCAGGGGCGGGAGAGGGCGTGACGGTGCATTGAAGTCAATGGCACAGCAGCCACGCCACCCGCCCGCATCCAGAATGCAGACACTGCAAGCACTATTTTTGCAGAACGTACTGGACCGGGGGGGGATGGCTGCGGTGTCATTGACTTCAATGCACCGCCACGCCCCCTCCCGCCCCTGAACGCAGGCAGCTGTCCGGCTTGCGTTCCAGTGGCCGAACACACTGGAACGCGGAGTTTGTGGTGTGAACCGGCCCTAAAGGAGGTGTTCTATTTCTAGAATAGCACTGTAATATGCTTTCTGCTTCTTAGCCTGCTGCTTGTGTCGCTGACCTTCGTTCCAATGCTGGGGAATCGTCTGCTGATATCCGCAAGGAAAATGACACTTCCGGGATGGCCAATCTCCTGGGTCCCCTACAGCTCTCATAGGTTCTTACAGCGGACCTTCACCCATTGGATGTTCAGCAGGGAGATACAGGGACCCAGGAGATCGACACTTGCTGAAATGTCAATTTCCCTTTAGACTTTAGCAGAAGATTTCTCAGCATTAGAGCAAAGTTCGTCAGAGTGGACATCAGGAAAGGTGAGAGTTTACAGACTTCTTTTACAGGTATACCTTCATTTAGAATCTTGACCAAGGACAGCAACAGGGTCGTTTAATGAACTGCTGACCTATCAGCCACACAGGGAGTGGATTGTTTTCGGACTCATAGGGGGGAATTTATCAACACTTGAGCAGACCAAATCTGGAGTAGCTGTGCATGACAACCAATCAGCTGCTCTCTTCAGTCTGTCCAGTTAAGATTTGAAAATGAGAGAGAGGCACTGATTGGTTGCCATGCACAGCTGCTCCAGATTTTGTCTGCTCCAGTTTTGATAAATTCCTTTCATAGACTTGCATTATGAGAAGGAGCAGTAAAGCACAACCATTGTGTAGCCGTGCCAAGCAGAACAGCCTCGGTATGTAAGGGGCAAAAATGGCTTCTCACATGCATAGTTACATAGTTACATAGTATTTGAGGTCGAAAAAAAACACTGGTCCATCAAGTCCAACCTATAGCGTGTATGCATGTGAATCTACATGTGTAGGAGTGTGGATGAGTCCATTGGGGCATCTTCTTCTTAAGTGTATGTTGCGGTCTCTGAGGAAATCGTCCAAATGCTCTTTCTCCACTAGTTTTAGGTGGTGGCCTCTAGTCTTTGTTGTGGAGCTTACCGTAAAGAGTTTACTGCTGATGTTTCTTGTACAAGAAACACCTAGGCGTATCGAATATGCACGTTTGCAGCGCGTTTCGTGACACGCGTTTTTACCGCGATTCGAGGGCTACTTGGCTGTATCCCAATGGAAACGCGCAACAAAAACGCTGCAAAGAATCTCATGTACCTTTTCAGGCGTAGGCCGTTTTGTAGCGCGTTCAGACGGGCTGAAATACGGCAAGGTGTGAACCATACCCATAGAAAACAATGGGATTTTCATGTTTGAGCGTTTTGTAGAGCGTTCATAGAGCGTTGAACGCGCTACAAAACGTACAGGTGTGAACCAGGCCTTAATCTTCTTGCTTCCAGCGAGAACATGTTTACATTTAGTAACCTTGCACATATACAATTTCAAATTACACATAGATACAACATTTTTAAAACACATCATAAATAATATTTATAGTTGATTTCTTTTACATGTAAAAAATAATTAAAATCAGTATTCAGGCACAGAACACACACAAAAAAAAAAATGTTTTCTTCGTGTGGGGGCGACAAGCGCATAGTGGTAAATAGGGGTAGGGGTTAAATGTAAGTTGGTTCTGTACCACAGGACCAGTTGTGTGTTGTAACTTGTTTTTTATTGTATCTATTACAATACTTATGCAACTGACCTTTTGTAATAACAATGTAAAAGAATGCAATAAAACATGTTTAAAAAACAAAATCAGTATAACTTCCTGATTGGATGCTATGGGCTACTGCACTCTGCCTATGAGCATGACTATTCACAGTGCATCATTAAAGTGAAATCTGTCACTTACTGTTCACAATATCGTATTTCTGTGCCAGTAATGCAGCCTGTAGACTCCTTCCACTTCCCGGCCGCCCGCAGAGAAGAACACGTGGCGTATGTGGGGCCAGAGAGCGTGGCTTGCTTAAAACGAAGGTCAGAACTAAAGAGAGGAGACAAACATGGAAAACACGTGATTGATGTGACGGAAACATCAAAGGTTAAAAAGGAATTTGGGCAACAAGTAAAATTATTAAGGGAACTGGTAACACTATTCAGTTTCAGTCGACAGCTATGTCCATTGCATCCAGAGTTCGGTACATTCCCACAAATGTTTCTTGACCTGCAGCCTCTTGTTTCATGATTCTGTGCAATTTCTAAAGCTAAGAAGTCTACAATGGTTGAGTCAGGGATACGCAGCCTGCACATTCACACGACTCTGTAACTGGTGTTGTCAGAACTCCGGAGTGTTGGCAATAAGTCAATTTGAAGCAGTGGGGCAACTCTGGTGCTACATTTATGCCTGGATGAAAACCAGCAGTGCCCATTATAATGGATGTGCTGCAATATATATAACCAGGCTTAATCTGCAGTTCCAGCAGTACAATTATTGCATCAGTAGTACTCCTGCCCTTCAACGTTGGAGCTATGGGTCGGTTCCATATGTTTGTGTGGGTTTCTTGGAGAACCCAAATACAAAGCAGTGGGTTACCTGGCTTTAAATAAAAGCGTCCCTAATGAGTGCATGCCTGTATGACTGTGGTAAGGACATTACACTGCAAACTCCATTGGGGCAGCGACTGGTGTGAATGGTTCTACGTATGTGCTCTGTGAAGGAAACCGTATTATCTGCACTATAAAATATAAAAATAAAATCAGTAAATAATAATAATAAATACAGTAAAATAAATACAAAAACATTCTGGCTAAAGTGTACATTAAAAGGCAGTCATACAAGTGAGCAAAAACAGAAGTGGAATGCCAATTGTCAGGGTGTCTATTAGGAGACCTAACATAGACCCAAACGAAAAGGATATTCACTGTGAACTCTACAGGACATGATCCTGAAGGATGGAAAAATTACTATAAGGCTGGGTTCACACCTAGGCGACAGTGTTTTGGCGCGTTTCTATGCACAATTTTGAAGACAGATGATTCATGTTTTGGTTTGGTTACTAACACATAATGGAACGATAGAGGATTGGCTACAGCTTAAAAAGGGGGTAATTCAGCATGCAGTGAGGGTTCCTTAACGTTCCATTAAAGGAGAACTATGGGGTCAGTGTTTTTCCCCATAGTTCTCCTTAGGGTAACGGGAGGACACAAACTAGCGTCCTCCCGTCACCCTAGGCTCAGTATACTGCGAGCTGCTGCTCGCGGTATACTGAGACGCCGCAGCTGAAGCGGATCCCGACAATTGTGCCGGGATCCGGCCAGCTGCGTGACTGACAGCTGGCTCTGCCTATCTAAAGGCAGAGCCAGCTGTACCCGCCCCCTCCGCCGTCCGTTCCGCCAGTCAGCGCTGGCGGATTGGAGCGGGGAGGGGGAATCAAGCCCCTCTCCTGTCATGGCAGAGAGCCGTGACAGGATTGAGAGGTGAGCGAACGCCGGTATGTGTTCGCTCACCTCCCGATCTACTGAGCCGACCTGTGACAGTCTCATTGTCACAGGTCGGCTAGAACTATGAGGTGAGTGGAAAGCACTCACCTCATAGTTCTCCTTTAATAAAAGCCATGTCGTTTTTAAATATGGGATTATTGTAAAAAAAGGTTTAACCCTTTCGCTGCCAAGCCCTCAGGAACATTTTTCAAATCAGCTGGCCAAGCCATTTTTGAATTTTCTGCAATTTTTTCCTATTGGTTTGATTTTCAACTGCTGCGTTGCTAGCGTTTGTAAAAGACCCCCCAAACCATATATTTTCTGAAAGCGCAGGCCCGGTAGAATAAAAAGATGGTGATACTAAATTTGTAGGCCCTGCGATAATTGCGCAAATGTTTCTCAAATTAATATTAAACCGATAAAAATACACAATTCAATTGTTAAAACACACCAAAATCAGTATCCGTGCACAAAAAAAAATATTTTCTGACTAAATCTAAAAGATAAAACTGTATTGAGTTAATAAATAACAAATATTAGCAAATTTGTAATTGCGCCTTTTTGCGAAAAGGTAAAAAAATGAAGGTATGCAAAACTGTAAATAATCGACTTATGTAAAAAATTGTTTTGGTGTTTGTGTTGTGATAAAATGATACAGGTGTATATTTAATTGCAACACAAGGTATCACAACGCATGGCAATGAGTCACAAAGCTTTGCCATGCGCTGCCACAGTTAATTTAATGTTTTTTTTTAAAGAAAAAAAATAAATAAAAAAGATCATGCACTGCGATGCGTTCTAACAACGCACTGCAGCGCATGTGCATGGTGTGCACCACAATATGTGTGTGTTATGTGGGGGGAGGGAGGGGTTGTCCTTTTTTTTTATTATTTTTTTTTTTTTTACACATTTTTTATTTTTTTTAAATAATTTTATTTTGTTTTACATTTTTTTATTTTTTTTTTTTTAACATTTTTTATTTATTTTTTAATAATTTTGTATTTATTTTTTTTACTGTTGGGGGGGCTACAGTGAAATCTCTGGGGTCTAAATAGACCCCTGACATTTCCCTTTTGAAATAGAAAAAGAAATTGAGGACATAAGTCCTCAATTTCTTTTTCTGCAGCCCCAGCACTCAATGAATGAGAAGCCTCAGTACAGAGGCTTCTCATTCATTCTCAAACTAATGATCGTAGTAAAAAATATTTTACTATCATTAGTTTCTGAATGGGGAGGAGCCTCTGTAGTGAGTGCTAGTCCCAAATTCATAAATTCTTCAATGAATAGGCTGTGATGTAAATCGCAGCCTGTTCATTCATAACTGGGGACACATAGCGCTATGTGTCCCCAGTTATTTACAAACACCGGAGTGATCAGACGATCACTCCGGTGTTTGCTCTGCACAGAGGGATCGTTAAATATCATTGATATTTAACGATCCCGAGCTCGGTCACGCAACACAGAGCCGCTGTCATCCAAAAACTGACAGGATGACAGCGGCTCAGAACAGAAGACGCTCGGCCATCCTGAATTTGCGGCCAGCCGCCGCTCGTTCCCGGGACCCCCCCGACGGTGATTTTTTAATGGATCCCCGCTGCCACAGACCCTACAAGCAGCGGGGATCCATGGAGTCCCTCATCCCTCCCTGGGATGGCTCCAGGGAGGGATGAGAGACTCCAGATGCCGGCGACCATCAGCTTATAGTAGAACTGTAAATGCCAGGTCCGTACGACGTACTGAGCTGGCCAGCTGGAAGCACTTTTGTAGCTCCGTACGACGTACGTCCTTGGCAGCGAAAGGGTTAAGGAGAAGATCGCCAAAAACTACCAACTATCTAACATAACAATATTCAGTAACAATGATGACATTTCTAATCAGAATAACATATTGCTTGTCTTCCTGCCTCTGTATCTCAGGAATTAAAAAATTGGGGGGGGTGGGGGGTACATTTCCACGTGCAAAGAACAGTTTGACTTTATGTCCCCATACACATGGGGCGATCTGGGTTTCCTGCAGCAAGAACCTACAGATGGTGCAGAAATCCCAGGTATCGGGATGAGATGAGGCCGACGTGCCCCTTCAAGCAAATGACCGGGTGACAGCGGCCGCATCTGTAAGTGGCAGTCCGCATGTATTTGTACATGATACAATAAAATTACATGTGGTTTGGAATAGATAACTGTTGCTGGATGCATCTATCCTGTCCAAGGCTGGGTTTACACCATTTTCCAGACCAGATCTGGACCAGATGTGGAACATAGTGCATTGCTGTTTTGCCGCGATTTTACATCGATTTTGACGCAATTGGATTTAAAAAAAATCTAAAAATGGTCTTACAGGTGCGTTCCAGTGCGTTCCATGCCTTTTTGATGCCTTCCAGTGCATTCCAGACCAGACAAAATAGGACAAGCAGTATTTTTCTGGTCTGGTCCGGAACGGATTGCGCTGGTGGGAACAGAGGCCAGAAATACCATAGGGATACATTGGGATGCATTTTGGGTCCAGAAACAGTCTGATCTGGTCTGGAGGTAATCTGGATGTGGTGTGAATGGGCTCTGAACGAGGCCTAAACAGGAACAAGTTCTGGCGCAATAGAACCCTCATTTTGCTCTGTAAGCTGTGCTGTCAATCAGTGTGATGTAGTGGAGGGGGCGAAAAACATACCTTATAAAGTGTTAGATATCAACTTGCATTTTAGCTGCTCCTCTTTTGAGGTGGAAGGGGGTAAACATTTTAATGGGTGCTATTTAGCGCTTTCAGTTACTTGTTTTAAAACAAATAGACTGTATTAATCCTTTCAATATGGAGCATTCCCTAAAATATCATTTCGGCTTCTGCTTCAAAAGTGGCGATTTCCTTAAAAGTCGGCTTCTAAAGTCAGACACAAAGCAAGAATTTGTGGGCAATGCAGCAAAAAAAAATGCTCGTTTATCCTGATGTAATCGAGGAGACTCCAATAAAGCCAACCCTTAAAATACTGGTTTTACTTACCGCCCTCCGCTCGGATAAAGGCAGTGAGCTCTGCTTACAAATGGGGCTAATTTTCAGTAAATAACTAAGTTAATTAGGAGTAATAATCCCCAAGATGAGCTGCTTGACTAATTAACTTGAATAAAAAAGAAATTTGAAGCTTGATGTGGCTTGTCAAAGATCTTTAGAGAATTCCTCGGAATATACAGTCTTTTTTTTTTTCCCTTCACTCTCCTTTCCCATCCCTAATTCATCCCTCTGCATTATTAATTAATAGTAATTAATATTCAAGCGCCCGCGTCTTTATTTACTGATTTGGTCATTAATTCTTTATGAAAGCTGATTTCAACTTTTAGATGTAATTAAGCAATTTGAAAACTAATTAATTTGCTGAGTGAAGAAAAGGGGACAATGCGATCGTTGCTATTCAGCAGAGCTGGAAGGGCACTTGTGTTCTGTTTGACATACGGTAAGATTGTGGCAAGGGGGTCAAAATGAAAGCAGGTATTTAATTAAAAGTGCAAGTGCCCAGAGGGAAGGGCGCTGTAATGTCTGGGACATTAGGTGCCCACATTTGTTTTAACAAGGTCCTCTGCTACTCCTCTTGGAGATTGTGTCTGCGCATTGTTTCTCGAAAAGGAAACAAGTGTTATTTTATTATGAAGGACAGTAGGCCAAAAATCCGAGTTACTGAATATATCAAAAGATCTACTACACTTCGTGCAAGTCATAGCATTCAAGGATTTACATTACGATTTAGGTTGATACTGCCGACCTTTAATGAAAATGCTACTGACCTGCCTGCCCTACGGATCCACTAAGTCACTAACACAGAACAAGAATGGAGGTAACGAGTCCCGACTAGGGATGCACCGATATATATCGGCCGCCGATACAAATCGGCCGAAAATTGCACTTTTGACCATCCTTATATATCAGAATACCAGCAGTTTCATCTGCCTATATTTGCCATAACTAGTTCCTCCTTTCCCGCTACTCAATTTGATAATTATTAGGGATGCCCCGATATATCGGCTGAAAATGGCACTTTTGGCTAAATGCCAAAAGTGCAATTTTTTCTGGCGACACAGTGGCGCATCCCTGCTTTCTTTCCTCTCCACTGGGCGCTGCTCTGTGTCCCAGCGGGGAGGAGAGAAAGTGTCACAGGCGGCCGAGCGCTGCGCGAGGAGAGCGCTGCGAGCGCCCGGCGTCTCTCCTCCCACACCACTCCGCCTCCTATCACAGATCGGCAGAGCGGTGTGGGGGGCGGAGACAGCCAGCGCTGTCACAAGAGGCTGAGCTCTCCTCCCGCACCGCTCGCTCAGCCTCCTGTGACAGCGTGTCATGATGGAGAGCAAGTGCAAACACTCAGCGGTCAGTGATCGCTGAGTGTTTGTAGATAATGGAGGACAGAGTATGTTTACTGTGTACTGAATTATGAATGGGAAGTGATCTACATCACTTCCTGTTCATTCATGATTGTGGTTATAGTAAACATACTCTGTCCTCATGTTATGAATAAAATATTAAAACAGGAAAAAGTTTATAAAAAATAAAAATAAAATATTGAAAAATTTTAAATAAAAACATTTTCCGTTTCGGCCTCACAATTTTTTTTATTTCGGTTTCGTTTTGAAATTTCCATGTAGGTGATCCTCTAGTCTCGACTGTACTTGCTTTGTACTTGCTGCTCGTCAGTGACTCAGAATGATCATTTAAAGCCCAAATTTTCTTAAAATGTTTCATTTTTTATGTAAATAGCCCAGGAATTCAAAAACTACAAAATTAAGATCTAGCTGCAATATTCACCTCCTCTCCGACGCTGTTCTCTGCAGACTCACCTGCCCTGAGATCCCTTGCTAGTTCTTTTTCTAGTTAAATGACACCCAGCGTCATTCAACCCACTTCCTAGAGGTATCATCATGGCACCCTGCGCTCACAGTATGATAATGCAGAGAGCGGTTACTGCATCGAGGAACACAGAACCAGAGGAAGAGGACCCTGTGTGTCACATGACTGACTGGACTAAGGACTTCTGTAGAAATTGATGTATGCACAAAATAAAACTAAAAATGTATGGGGGGTAAGGACTGTGTGGCAGAGGAGGGAGTTGGGCTTTGAGCAAAACATGGATCAATTTTACATCCATTTTTTTATTTTATTTTATTTGGAAAGTTTGGTGGTATTTGAGAGCCATTGCGTACAATTGCCCCATACACACATGTGCTATTTTTCAACTCGAAACCCAAAGTGACTGCATATTTATGTTCTAAAATGAAAAATATGATACACACAGATATATATACACACCTTGAGAAAAGACATCCATGCACGGCTGGTCAGCATTGATCTCCTTGTGTATTTTGGAAAAGGTACGCAGGATTCCTGCAACATTTCTATGATATTCTAACAGTTTCTGTCCAGTTTCCTCCTCTGAGATCCCTTCTGGTTCAACTAGATTTTTCTGCACATCTGGGTCATCTGGCCAATCGAAGGTTGCATGGTACACATCTGTGGAACACCAACACAAACATACTTTCAGAAGAGAGTATAAGTATGCCTGAGCAAACCAGGCAACCATGTTCAGTATAGAGGGCCCAGTACGTTTGGGCTGCATCGTGGATAAGAAACATATACAGTGGGCTGATCCTGGCATTTGCATATGTCAATCCCTATGAATACCATCATAAAACTCATTTTCTGTACCTAACTGGCATGTTGACAGATTAAACAGAATGGCTGTAACAGATTTTGAAGAAGTCATGACTGTTAGGGTACCCATATGATGAAAGTCAGGCAATCCAATTTCAGGTCTACAGGGAGCCTATTTTTCCCAACTGGCCACCATCATTGGGAATATAGATCGAGCAGTCTACAAAGTCTAGGATTTTGCTTCTTAGTGACTTAGTGCTGTTCATCTCTTCCCTCCTTACAGCCATATAGACATGACCAGAAATATTCTCACACTGTGAATGATGCTGGTAATGCTGCCAAGTCTGACCACCCTCTAAAGCAGGCCTTCTTAAACTTTTTCCACTCGTGACCCCTTTTCACCTGAGGACATTTTTACGTGACCCCGGGTGTCTTCCTCCCCCCAACCCCCCTCCCCAGCGTTGGGTTGGTTTCGGGGGGCTCAGCAATCCCCCTTCATCAGGGCTTTAGTACTTATCTAAATATCAGTTGAACTCAGAAGAGAGCTCCTGGGTAACTCAATCCAAACTGAGAGAATGATCTGTGAAAAGATGCCTGTGACAGCGGCAGAGCAGCACAATGACTGTACGTTAGAGATTTAAAACCTGATGTGGCACTGGGAAAAAGGAGTGTCAGAATACAACAATCCAGAACGCAACAAAACATTCAGCTTCCTGGCTGCCTAAGAGACAACTTTGCTCTGCTTATTCCAGCACAGACTGCATGCAATCTGTCTACACACACATACGCTCATCCCAGAGAAAACATACATTATAACCCAGGCCAGTGCTTCAACCCCTCCATACTGTTACACAGACCTAGTCAGTCTAGGCGGCAGGTAAACCCCATCTACTACTCTACCTTGGACGCAAGGGGGCTGTTTGTCACAATACACTATTAACAATAACTATTCAAAAGTACAGTTATCCTTTAAAACTTCCTGAAGTATTGAGTTGCAAAATTATATAAGAAAGTGTGACCCGAGAGATGGCTGTGAGGTCATGTGACTGCTGAACAAAAACATGTATAAAGGTACACAAGAAAAGTTTATGTTTTACCCAAAAATATGTGATATGGCAGACAAATAAACAGGGTTGTTCACAAAAGGGTGAAGAGTTTGGAGAAGGCAGGAGAAAAGTCTTGCGATGGTTGTAAGGTGTATGGGCACCTTTACAGAGAGATGGGAATCAATATACATGATTAGGCTGAAGGGTGCTTGTGCCAAGATCACTGAGTTGATGACATGCAGCTGGGTTTTGGTCAGAAGGTGAATATTGTGTTCATCTGCATATAATGGGGTCTATTCACAAAAGGGTGAAGAGTTTGGAGAAGGCCGGAGAAGTGAACAATCTAGGACAACATATCTGAACTGGAAAGTGAGCTGAATAGGAGAATATTTCCAAATCAGCTATGTTGTCCTAGATTGTTCACTTCTCCGGCCTTCTCCAAACTCTTCACCCTTTTGTGAATAACCCTCAATGTCTTTTTTACAATGTACTTTGGCTGAGTTCACGTATAAGTTGAACTAAATCACCTATATCCTTTGGTTCCCTTGTGTTTTATTGTCTACCCCAGACATATAAACATCATGTATAATATATGACCTACAGACTCTTTGTTACCTCCAGTGGTGGGGTCAACTCTCTTTCCCATGTTTCGCTCAATAAGGACAATATCTGGGGCTTCCAGCACCACTACAAGAAATAAAAACATAACATTTTTTGAAAAAATAAAAACCACAACAGAAGAACACACTGCAACACCAACATTGTAAGTCATAACACCCACAGCAGTTTCTGCCCCATACAGTCCAGGTAGGTTGATTTATGCTTTGTTAAAAAAAATGCACATTTACATCTATCCAGCCTTGGAGGTACTAGACCATAAGCCTGATGTTTTGCACTATTATCTCTGTTGATGAGAATGGGATGATGCTCCTTTCTTTGTTTTAAGGTAAGGTCAGCACTGGGCTCAGCAAAATCCTCCCCACCACAATGTGATGGTGATTAGAGGTTTCTTTATAGGGAGGCAGAGGGAGTATCATGTGTTCCTTCACTCCCGGGTTCACTGGGAATTTCACAGGGTTCCGGTGTTGGATTGGTCATGGAACTATGGTACCTGCTTTGCAACTAACCTGTTGTGCATTGTTCCGTTTTAAAACGGAAGTAAAAAACATTTAAAACTGTTGATGAAAAATCTTCAGTAAAAACCCTATATCCAAACACTCAGTGGAGTTAGGTTATCGATATCTACAGGTATATGCAAATCTTGATTTTTCTGTAAAAATCTAGGTTTGCCCCCCACCTACCTATTGTTTAATGGGGCTGCCCTTTAGATTAAAACCAACAGGGAGGCATGGGTGAGAGGAGGGAACATGGTCAAGCTTGACAATTAAAGGTTAAATTAAATTAAATCAAAGTCCAGACTTACATTCGGCTGTGTAAGGCCATAGCCGGGAGCTCGCACGCTACTGCTCATGCTCAGGTCCCAGTCTTCCGGGTTGCCGGAAAACATGCCTTAGCATGCATTCACGCACAACGGAATGTGGCGCACAGGAAGTGACACAGTGGCGCACAGGTAATGACTCACGGCCCTCTAATAGATGTTCCTATTTTAACCAGCTGGCCCAATGGGTCAGTGCTGAACAGTCTTTCAGCTTTGCTTGTGTTCCTGCTGATCTGTTGCCTGTTACCTCGACCCGGATTGCTGCTGACTTCGACTGATTGGTGCTTGCCCCTGACCTCTGCTTGTTGTCTGGATTCTGCCTCTGTGTGCGCCTTCCGTACCGTTCTGACCGTCTGGATTGACCCCTGGCTTGTTTGACCTCGCTCCAGTTTCTGCTGCAAACCTCGCTGACATCACAGCTGTGCACCAGCCCTGCTCATCCTTTCAGGGACCCAGTTGCCGGACTTCTACCAGGCACCGTGCCTGAACACTTTGGCACACGTGCTTCTCTCTGTCTACTTGCTCCCTGTTTCCACATCCAGGAGTGTGAGACAAGAGCCGCAAGGAAGGCCTCCTCAGCTAATCGGTCCTCCACTAGGTACGTGAAAGGCTGGCTATATCTCTAGATCTAAACATCACCTTGTCAATACCAACTGTTCCTTCATAAAAAAAAAAAGTTAATTTATTGATTAAACGGCCCATTTGGTTGCATCAGATTCTCAAAGATACCACCCTCTCCACGAAATGATTGTTATAGAGAATGAATGCTGGATGGCCAGCATTAACCCTTTGTTATTCTCTAACATCAAACTTCAGGATCATCCTGTCGTACAGACATAATACCTGTTATTCTCCTAATGAACAGGCATACAGTATGGTACAAGAACTTACCAACGTGATCAGGAGATGAGCCGTTCATCTGCAGCAGTAAGCCCTGCTCTCTTGTGCGGGGAAACCCCTCCAGAACCCAGCCCTATAAGCAGAAAAACAAAAATCAAGGTCAAGTCTCATGACACCACAAAACATGAATACAATGCAGCAAAATGCTCCTACGCTATAGTCAAATGTAAATGTTCTGAGTGGTGCACTGCAATGCTAACAAAGAGTGATAATACTAGTATAGTGACTGGGCCCTAAAGTGTCAATCCATCCAGAACTCATATTCCACTTTTGGGTCGATACCAGGAGGCTGAACCACCCGCCTTGCCCCTCTCGAGGACAACAGCAGTGATTTCTGCAATTCACAGATATCCCACTCACTCTGGCCAAATGGATTTACACGCTCTACTTTGAGTTGTAATAGCATTTGCCTTCCATGTATTTATTGAGATTTTACAATTTTTACCTATTTGCTGTTCAATATTTGGCCACCCGCATTTAAGAAAGGGATTAGTAGCCTCTGTTTGAAGACAAACTATACTGTTTTGGTCTATTTTTGATTATATAGCCCTCTAGCTGTGCCTTCCCCTTCCCCTCTGCTGGAGGTACCTACTTGCATTTTCTTGCACCGCAGTTCGTATGTTGTTGTACATAGTTGAGTCATTTAGCCTTGTTTCCACGTTGGAGGTATGGCTTTTTGGTTGCAAGGCTGCAGAAAAATGGCAGCAGGTGCTCTGGACGGATGAGTCCAAATGTAAAATATATGGCTGTAGCAGGAAGCAGTTTGTTCACTGGCTGGTGAGCCGTACAATAATGAATGTCTGTAGTAACAGTAAAGCATGGTGGAGGTTCCTTGCAAGTCTGGGGCTGCATTTCTGCCAATGGAGTTGGGAATTTGATCAGGATCAATGGTGTTCTCAATGCTGAGAAATACAAACAGATACTTATCCATTATGACATACCATCAGGGAGGCGTCTGATTGGCCCCAAATGTATTCAGCAGAAGGACAATGACACCAAACATGCAGCCAATGTCCTTAAAACTATCTTCAGCGTAAAGAAGAACAAGGAATCCTGGAAGTGATGGTTTTGCCACCACAGAACCCTGATCTCATTATCATGGAGTCTGTCTGGGATTACACGAAGAGACAGAAGGATCTGTGGTTGGTTCTCCAAGATATTTGGAACAACCTACCTGCCGAGTTCCTTCAAAAACTGTGTGCAAGTGTACCTAGAAGAATTGATACTGTATGAAGGCAAAGGTGGTCACCCCAAATATGGATTCGATTTGGATTTCTCTTCTGTTCATTTACTTTCCATTTTGTTAATTAAGAACAATAAACTATTAACACTTTTATTTCTGAAAGCATTCTTACTTTACAGAATTTTTTCACACCTGCCTGAAACTTTTGCACAGTACTGTATGTATATATTCTAGGGCTGTGGAAATTAAAGATTGATTTCTCGATTAACCGTTAAACTTTTTGATCGATTAAAATTATTTTGATCGCTAATGAAAACACTCACCTCTCCGCCGGCTTCCGGGAGTCCCGTCGGCGATCCGGTGACGTCACGGACATCGACGTCACCGGACTCCTCCCCCCTTCCCCAAGTGGCTCCGTCGGCTAACGAAGGGAAGGGGGGAGGAGTCCGGTGACGTTGATGTCCGTGACGGCTAGGGAAGGGGGAGGAGTCCGGTGACGTCCATGTCCGTGACGGCTAAGGAAGGGAAGGGGGAGGAGTCCGGTGACGTCGATGTCCGTGACATCAATTAATTTAAAAAAATTTAAATCGATTAATCGATTAATTTCAATTAATTATAACGCACATACAGAGGTCTTGTCTAAGCAACAATCGTAATGGGGACATGGCCACACAAAGAAATTTAAAAAAAGGTAAATTTTTAAAAAATTAACACGTTCAGGTTTTATTGAAAGGGAAGGGTTACAAAAATGGAAAGGTGGATGTCCCCTGGAAGCTGCTCTCTTCCGTGTGTATATGGGCCGGTTGGTTATTAAATAATCCATTCCATTTTTTTTGTCATTTGAAATCCTTTTTTCTGCGCTGGCTATACACGCTTGAAGAGCAACAGGACTGAATTTTAAAAAGCATTTCAGAACTATTTTATATAACATAGTAACAGTAAGCAACATGGCAACAATACCTTTTTGTGCTTCTTCTGAGAACCTATTTGATACGGTTGAAGTGTTCTAAGTACTTTCTCTCTGTGTACTTTTAAATCATGGCGCCTTTGTGGCACCGTAGGCTAACGAAGGGAAGGGGGGAGGAGTCCGGTGACGTCACGGACATCGACGTCACCGGACTCCTCTCCCCTTCCCTTCGTTAGCCGTCACGGACATCGACGTTACCGGACTCCTCCCCCCTTCCCTTCGTTAGCCGACGGAGCCACTTGGGTAGGGGGGAGGAGTCCGGTGACGTCGATGTCCGTGACGTCACCGGATCTCCGACGGAACTCCCGGAAGCCGGCGGAGAGGTGAGTACCGATCAAAAGAATTTTAATCGATCAAGAAATTAACGATTAATCGAGGAATTAATCGTTAATTTCCACAGCCCTACATTTTATATAAAATGAGTGTACAGTCTCTGATGAGTTTAGCTCAGTTGGGGATTCTGTTTTCTTAGTCAGCAGTCATAGTCCCTAAGCCGTACCAGTCCCTAAGCCGAAAACACAGCCTGCCTATGTAATTAGCAAATTACTGCTCTAGGCATATTTAAACTACACGCAGTTAAAAGCTTAAACGATTCAAAAGATTAACACCATGACAACAAATTTACACATTGATCACCTTCACATTTATATACAAAAGGATTCTAGCTTCCCTTTAAGATGTCCGGATGTGAAGCGTGTCATCACAATCCACCCCATAACCCTTACAGCAATCTTAGGCGGACTATATATTTAAACGATTAAAAACCCTTTTAAATCTTATTTAGCTCAATATTGTGGCGACATATCCTAACACCCCTCCGCTGAAAACACGCAGCTACTTATGGGGTAAGTCTGAGCTGAACTTTCACAGCTAGAAGAATCCAAAAACAAATACAGTTTTTCAGGATAAATAACGCCACGAGGAGCGGGCGGTACGACAATTACCGAGGAAGAGCACCGCAATTTGCTTTAAGGATAACCTGCCTCGTCGAGATCTCATGCATATTAAACGCCACGTAGGGCTGCTAGTGATAATTTTTTTGTATATTTTAGGTATTTCCTGGGGTCTCTGGTACACAAGCGCACAAATAAAGAGAGAATCAATCAATTCTTTAATTAGAATATATTATGTGGCGTCTTGACACATCACAGTCGAGCGTTGATTCCACCGCGGAGCTGCTTGCTTTGTTCAGAACAGGTTAATTGATATTCTGATGCACTTTACTCCTCTGGCTGGCGCTGGCTTCGAACCCCCAGTGGTTTGCTTCTGTTTTATCCCACATCAAAAAAAGCGTATGCTGGGGGCGCCCTCAGCACAGCTTGGAGCTGGAGGCCTGAACAGCTGCGCGGAGCCCGCGATCACAGGAGGGACAAGCTTCTAGCAGATGTCACAGATAAAATGAAATCTGAGCCTTATAAATATATATGTGGACAGTCATAGGGCAGAGGAGGCTGGGGATACATACAGAGACAAGACAGAGATGACTTACAAACACACTTCCCTATGTACATAGATTCCGCAGCACTGGTAATGAGAACCAGGTAATTGTATGCAGGCATCTTACAAGGTTTTGTGCTTTAAACGTCTTCATCCACATACTTAACCCTGAAATTATTGCACATTAAAGGTACGCTCCAGTGAAAGTGGAAATTTCAGCCTTAAAAGTCTTATAGGGGCAGCGGCTTACCTGCTCGTGGATTCTGTTTTTTACCCTGGTTTAGCTGTAGTGCTTTAGGAACACACTATATTAATTTGCTGTTCTGTGAATACCAACATTTAAGTATATATATACAGTAGTCAATATACCAGCTCATTAACACAAATACCCAAACATGACCTATTTTAATATAGTCATTCTGTATAGGAAAAGACCTTTTTCAGGTCATCTACACTTAGAAGGAAAACACGTACTTTGTGCAGAATGTCTGAATACATAAACCAAAGAAGAAAACTTTTCAGAGACGCAGCAAAATACAGTAACAGAGCTAAAATAATTTTAATTCTGTTGATCCAGTTATCGCTGCCAGAGTACACGGTCAGGTCTGTTCCTTTACTTTACGCCACTGCATAAAACCCCCCCAAACATCCTGGATTCTCAGAAACTGTGCCGGGTTTTCAGCACAATCCTGGTGACCCCGCGGATTCAGGACCTGTTCCGGAGCTGAGTGCCAGAACACTTGTTGCAGCACCTGACTTCAACTCTTTGCACAAATTGTTCAGAGGAGAGATCTCCTGCCTGACAGTAGGTGCATAGCCCCAGCAGCAGGAGGAGGAAAGGCAAGAGCACCGGTGCAGATTATAGTGCAAGGTTAGTCAACTGTGCTCTACTCCTACTAACCACCAACCCCCCCTATTGACTACCAATGTCCCTCTAACCGCACACTGACCACCAATACCCCTCCCCACCCATAATGACTACCAATGACCCTTCCCGACAGCCACCAGCACTGACTAACAATGTTCCTCTCCATCCACACTGACCATCAATTACCATCCACTCTCACAGTGACTACCAATGACCCTCCTCAACACCCAACCAAATTGAGTAACAATGTTGATCTCCCCCCCATCTCCACTGACTACCAATGTCTCCCCCACCTCAGAGCCAGTGCTGTCTACCCTTCACTGACCCTGACATTTTAACTTGTGTTTTTTCCCACCGTTGACTGCCAACATCTGGGCATTTTTCCTCCAATAGACAAGGAGGCAGATAGGCAGTTTCTCTTCCCACTTCCCAACAACACCAATATTTTTTTCAAAGTCGACATTATTTTCTTCCACTAATTTCCAGTGGCAGTCGTTTTTCTCCTACTGGTGCCGGACATTTTTCTCCCCCACAATGAATGCCAACGCCGATCATTTTTTCCTCTCATTTATGCCAGACCATGTTTTTTCCACCTGACCTGAACACTGACATCAGGGA